CGCTGCCCTCTCCCGCAATACTGTGTCCTCCTGACGGCCGGTGTCCCGGGGAGCTCGTCGTGCACGTAGTCCTGTATACTGCAGCATCAGTACAGAACCACACGGTGAGGGAATCGACGCACCTCGGAGTCGGGATGAGGCCCCCACAGAGGTAGCGCATTGCGTGCAGACGGGCCTATCCACGCGGTAGCACCACGACAAAACACGCACCTCCCATCCCATCCCATCCCAGAAACACCGCCCATCCCACCCCATCCCACCCAGAAACACCCTAAGGTCAGTAATCCTGCTCTGGAGGGCAGTATTCGCTACGCCCAGAGCAGCAGCCAGCGGGCATCCGTGCGGCGATCGACTCCGCGTACCTGCATCTGCACTCCCCGGCGCACTCGGACCATCTCGCAAGCATGCTTCTCATTCGCGAGCCCACACACACGCTACGACACCGGCGGGGGCGGAGTGGCCAGCCGCTTCTCGATCCTCTCCCCCAGCCCGTCCAGCAGCCGCTTCAGCTCCTCCGCCTCCTGCACGAGCACCTTCACGCTCGCCTCCGACACCGCTCCCGAACCCGCTCCCTCGACCTCAGCCGTCTGGCCCTCGCGCAGGCTGGTCTTCTCGACGGACTCGCGCACGACCTCCTGCCACGTCTTGCCCTCCTTCCGGAGGAGCGCGGCGAGCTCGTCCTTGATCTCCCGCGCGGTGCCGGGGCCGTGGTACCCGAACGCGGTGTACAGCTGCACGGCGGCCGCGCCTGCACGCGCGAACTCGAGCGCGTCCGCCCCGGAGGAGATCCCGCCGCAGCCGATGATGGGGATGGACGCGGGGAGGAGACCGCGGAGGGTGCGGAGCGTGGCGAGCGAGTACGGCTTGAGGGGAGGACCGGACAGGCCGCCCTGTTCGACCTTGTTCGCTGTCCATAGCTGTCAGTCGCGACAACACGCCACGAGTGACTGGACTCACGATCGGACAGACTGGGAGGGCGCTGGATGGTCGTGTTGCTGACGATGACGCCGTCGATGCCGTTAGTCGCGCGGACGGCCGCGGCGACGTCTGCGACTTCCGACTCGGTCAGGTCGGGGGCGATCTTGAGCAGCAGCTTTGGGCGGTGTGCGTGCGTCGAGGCGGTCGTCACTTCGTCGCGCGCCGAGGTGACGCCCGCGAGCAGCTCTTGCAGCAACGTCCGGCTCTGCATGCCTCTGGCGTGGACACACATGTGAGCGCAAGAAAGACTGATACAGTTGCTATAACGCACCTTAATCCAGGAGTATTGGGGCTCGACACGTTGACCACGAGCGCGTCCGCGTAGGGCCCGAACGTCCGCACGCCGGCCACGAAGTCCGCAATCGAGTCTGGCGGGGACGACTTGTTCTTGCCCAGGTTCACTGCGAGAAGTGCATTCGGACGTAAGGATGCGTGTTCTTCGCCGAACAGAGGGGAGTCGGAATCAGGGGAAGAGGAGTACGGGAACAGCGTCGGGAGGCGGGCACGCAGACGCGCCAGGACTGCGGCGTGTCCTTCTGAGGGGAAGCCGTAGCGATTGATGAGGGCTGAGTCGTCTGGTAGGTGGAACACGCGCGGTTTGGGATTCCCGGGCTGTGGGCATGACGCGTCAAGGGTGCCTGCCTGGACACCGCGAGCATGCGGACGTACCTGCGGTTTTGGCGTTACGCTGCCAATCTCCACCCAGCTGAAGCCAAGGTTGAACAGACCTGATGACATCTATGAGAGGCCATGTGGACACAGAGTAATTGCGACTCACCGTCGATTGCTTCGCCGTGCTTGTCGAAACCCGCGGCCAGTCCTACTGGGCTGGACAATGTCTCTCCCCACAACTACACATGCTTGAACCGTGGACCGCTTCCGACACAGAGCACGCACATACCTCAGTCTTGAGCACTTCGTCGTCCGGTAGCGGGTCGCGAGGGGCGAGCCCTGAACTCAGGACACGG